CTCACTCTAGCCCTGGCAACACAGTGAGACTCTTGTCTCAAAAAAAAAAAAAAAAAAAAAGTGATATGTCTTCACATCTTAGGAATCAGGCATAGTGTATTGCTCTCATAATTGTCTCTGTGTGTGTGTGTGTGAAAGTGTGTGTCTATTTCTATACACACATATAAATATATACTGCTCTCCTCTGTGTGTAAAGAGCTTTTAATTTTGACAAATATCTTCACCTATTTTACGCTACATGTATAAATGTCTGCATAGTTTTGTGTTCACTAACGCCAAACTCCTGTGATAAGGGTACTTCCATTTCCTGAAAAACAGCACACTCTCACAGTGCTTAGCTGAGGGGGATATTTACAATTCTGAACTCAGTGGAAGAAGCCCATTCTCACAGATATAAAGGTCATGGTTTCAATTTCCATTTAGATATATAAGTTTTAAATGAAGGAAAAAGTTTTTCCTCAGCCACAGATGCTTTTCTACCCTGGCAAACTTATTCGTGAAGACTCTGGGCACCAGAGAGGGCTGAGAGTGAGTCTGGAAAGCCCCCCACGAGCCCGTCTGGCAGAGAAGGAAAGTGCAGATGGCACGCTGGCAGCAGATTCACATGAAAAGCAGAAGACATTTAAAGTGTACCATTTTTAAACATGCCAATATAGTTTCAAGACTATCAATTTTAAGCCTGGACAATGTTAGGGTTTGCAGAAATGACATCGTTCATCCTGCCATCCGCAGGTACTTATCAAGCAAGCACTGTGCACCCGGCACCGGCAATGCAAAGTTGAGCGGGGCAGTGTGCGCCTGCGCAGTTCGTTGCATTCAGCCTCAGTGGGGGCGATGCCACCCTTGGGGAGAGAAAATTTGTCCTTGGGTGAGATAAAACAATAAAAAAGCTTATTCTTTTAATGTACAAAGCACATTGTAGACACACAGTATATCTGTGGTAATACAATTTCATGGTAAGAAGGGACTAGGAAAAGAAAGGCTAAAAAGACTCCTGAGGAAGGCAGTAACAACGACGTGGCTGAGAGACACTTGCGTATCAGGAAGAAAACAAGCAATTGATCCTAATGCAACACGCTAACGACAGTGACGGGAAAGCACAGAAGGTTGTGGCTGTACAGACCAGGAACACCTAGCTTAATAGAGAGGGGGACGTCAGGGAAGGCTTCCTGGGAGAGGTGGCACTTAGGCAGAGATGTGAGGGGTGACCAGTAGGAATTACTCAGGCAAGTGGGTAGGGAATGGTGTGCTAGAACTTTTACTGAGGAAAATCTATATAAACTCCTAAATTATCTAGCTTGGCTAATTCAGCTAACTAATTTACAAAGTCAAGCAACAGAATAAACACTGATAACTGAAAGCTGCCACAGTTTTGGATTTCATGTGTGTCTTCTCTTGGATAAGAGCCTTCCTTTCCGTTGTCTGCCATTATCCCAGGAAGGCCCTCATTGCCTCCTGCCAGAGAATTCTACCAGCCCCTAAATTGTCTCGCTTCCACCATCCCATAGAGCAGAACAGCACAGAGCTCTCTGGAGGTGATGTGCCACGTGGAGCTGCCCAGAGAGCCCTGATGTGCACTCCCCGCTCCAAACCTGCACACTAATCCAAAGCGGTTCTCTAGCCTGCCAGTTAAGAGTTTGCAGAACCAGGCTCTAAACTACTGAATGGAGAGAATTCAGGTATCCCCTTGAGTTACTAGTTCTTAAGCTTTAGAAGCTAATGAAAACTATAGAACTCCCTCATTCCTCCGGTCACAAAGATTTACAGTGCCCCCTGCCAGTGTGCCAGGCACCGCCCTGATCACTGAAGACAGGGCCCGCACGGAACAGAGAAAGCCCCGCACCCACGGAGTCTGCCTTCTCAAGGAGCAAAGGCAAATAGAAAATACATGAACCAGTAAGTAATTCTAATAATATCATTTAATGATGAATGTTATAAAGTCAATGTAAACAGGGTATGCTGGGTTAAGGAGTGACTTTGGACGAGGCGATGAGGGAATAGAGTGATCTCTGAGCTGAGACCTGACTGATAAAGAACCAGCTACGTGACGATTGAGGCAAGAGTGCCCCGAGCACAGGGAACACAGGGCCGTGGTGCAAAGGCCTAAGGTACAAATGAAAATGCACAGGAGCAAAACCGATAGTGGATGCACACCTGTATGGCTACCCTGTCATCACAATATCACCGTTTTCAGCATCGGTGGTTTCATAGATTTTGCCTCCCAGGAACCCCACTCAGGCGGTGCAAAGGCAATATATGTAACCTAAACATTTGTACCCTAAAATATCTTGAAATAAAAATCAACAAACAAACAAACAAACAAATAAATAAAAGGTTGGTACAATCAAAAAAAAAAGTTAATGTTTCTAGTAGCCTGCTTCTCTGAACTAGGGCTGGTTTCAGGTTGATTAGGTGGTGTCCATGTCCTCATTTGTTATGTTTCTAAAATTACCTCTCCATTAAAGCATAGTGTATATGAACTTGTCATGCGGCTTTAAAGGTCAACCTGGATGCTCTCTAATCCATCCTGTAATCTTGACTAAGAATCGTTGCTTTATCGTTGCTAATGTGGTGACAGCTAGTGGTTGTTCATTTCAACAAGTGGGAGGCAGATTTCCTGGGTTTGAACTTTAGTTCTGCCACATATTTAGTTGTGGGACCATGGGCAAGTTGCCTAAAATTTCTGTGCTTCAGTTTCCTATAAAATGAGAACAATGATAACATGTCATAGGATTTTTGTGAGGATCTAATGACACAATGCATGTAAAGCCCTGGAAAGACCTCTGGCATATTAGAAATTATTACAATGGTTAGCATACAAGTCGTGAATTCCTGCCAAGCTGTGCCCACCACCCTCAAACACACTCCATTTCCTCACCCTAACTTGCTTTTTTCTCCATTTCAATTGGCCAAATTTCCACCAACTTACAAAGCTCAGATAAAATGTCACAATCACCACAACAAATACTGGTTTCACCTTCCAAAAAAGTTATTTCTGTCTCCTGAATAACTATTGGTACATTGTTTATACCATTAGTCTAATCAGTTACTGCCTCATAAGGAAATTCTGTATATGTGTTTTGTATACTTTGCTGGACTATAAATTCATTAGAGAAGTACTATCCCATAGGAATATAATTAGAGACATAGGTAATTTAAAATATTCTAGTAGCCACATAAAAATGTTTTTAAAAAGGTGAAATTAACTTTAATAATATTTTATTTAACCTGATATAACCAAAATATTATAAATTTGCCATGTAATCAATATAAACAAATAATTAATGAGATAGTTTATATATTATTTGTACTGAATCTTTGAAATCCAGGGTGTATCTTAAATTTATAGCCCATCTGCATTCAGACTAGCCACATTTCAAATGCTTAACAGCCACAGGTGATGGTGGCGACCATTTGGGACAACACAGCTCCAGGCCATATACTATCCTTTACAGCTCTGTATTTGTCATGGCTTAGCATAGCGCATTCCCTATTTCAGAAGTTCAATTAATATTTGTTAAATTACTTTACTGATTTACTTAAAATCAGTACAAAATCTGACCCCATGGAAAACACATTTCTGCTGTTCATAACACAAAAAGTGAAAACATGGAAAAACAGTTTTAGCTTTATTTAAAGAAGAAGAAGTTTGCTTTTCCTCAGGAGTGGTAAAATAAATTTTCAATTATATTTCTAATTAAGAATACAGTTTAGATGTACTAAGCCCTGGACCACTGAAAGAAATTGTATATACAGCAGTAAAATGTATGTGTTTGTATGTTGACTTGTCCTCGAAATAATTTAATCCTACTTTCTGATATAAGTAAAAATTTTAGGTAAGAGCAATTAACTCATAAAGCAAACATGCAGGACTTGGTAAGTCTCACTGAAAACATTTTGACGTCATTTTCCTGTTCACCATGATTTTTTCTAAGTGCCGTGCTGTGCTCTGAAATGTATTCAATGTTTTCACAAGTGATTTCCCAGTTACTCAGATGCAGTCACAGTAAATGAATCACATGAGTTCCGTAGTCATTAACCGCCTACTGTGAGAGCCAGATTAATTTGAACTGCTCTTGTTAGAAAGGCTGATATGAAAAAAGTAGAAATCCTCGCATATATTCTACCACTCTAAAATTGGACTTACCTGCTCCTTCCTTATCAACTTTATCCTTATCTTTTCTTTCAATCTTATGTATCCATATGTCTGCAAAACTGATTGCAGCAGAGAAATATAAAGAATTAACAAAATATGGTAATTAGAAAAGTAAGGCGGGGCACGGTGGCTCGTACGTATAATTCTAGCACTTTGGATTGCTTGAGGTCAGGGGTTCAAGACCAATCTGAGCAAGAGTAAGACCCCATCTTTACTAAAAATAGAAAAATTAGCTGGGCACGGTGATATGCATCTGTATGTAGTCCCAGCTACTCGGGAGGCTGAGGCAGGAGGATCGAGGTTGCAGTGAGCTATGATGATGCCACTGTACTCTAGCACCCAGGTGACAGAGACCATATCTCAAAAAAAAAAGGGTGTGGGGGGCAGGGAAGAAAAAGTAAAATAACTCACCTTTGGCAATCTCAATGGTAATTTGCAAATTGGCAACTCATGGTTTTCATAAACAATGAGAGATTGATCCAAGTTGGGGATTATCTTCTCTTTAGGTATTTTATAAACAACAATGGCGCCCTTATAATGAGGGCAGCTATAGTTTCCAAATTCATCCACCTCTTTGATTTGGAGTTTCAGCCTGGGTTTTCTTTGCAAATGAAAAATCAGTTTGTAGTCTTTTCCATAATCCTTCCCATTGCCTAAATATAATTAAAATGCATTTGTTACCATTAAGTAAAACATAACACTTTGAGTTACTTAATTTTTTAAAATCCAAATAATCATTTTAATTGTTAAATACAATTAAAGCTTTTTTGTATCATTGTCTCTTGTCAAAACATAATTGATAAAGCAGCAATAGGCTGAGACTGTATAGATGACTCAAAAGATTTCTCATCTGTAATTGGGCCAGGTGCTCTCTAAGTCTTGCAATCTTTTATTTCTTTTTCTGTTCTATTTTGCTGTAACCAGAAACTACTGGAAATATTCAGCTTTTACAGTATTTAGAAAATTGTTTTCACCCTTCGAGAATTATCTTTCTCTTTTCCTCTAACTATCCATACATTCTAAAACTTCACTCTTCTGTAATGTGGGTGTTTAAGTGAAAATTAATTAAAATTAAATAAAATAAAAATCCAAATCCTCAGTCACTCTAACCACATTTAAAGTGCTCAATAGCTGTGTATATCTAGTGGCTACCTTACTAAACAGTGCAGATATGAAACATGTCTACAATTGCAGAAATGCACAGTGCTTTTCTAGAATTTCCAAGCTCAATAGTTAATGCATTCATGTTACTAAAACTTCTAAGAAAATTTGGTGGATTCTCCTAAAATAATGATGTGTAAAAATCTTCTCAACTCCTCACTGAAAATACCAGAGCTTTTGTGAACATGACCTTTCACTCGTAGAGGCTGTACCAGGAGAATCAGAATATTTTACTTTGTTATTTCAACAGTAGAGTGAAAACTACCATGTTTCTTAAAGCATATATGTCTGTACTACACTTCGTAAAATTTATAGAAAACTATAATGTAGTGGTTGAAATAATGGATATAAAGATCTAGATTCAAGTCCAACCTCTGGACTTGAGTCTAGAGGTTTGTCTACATTGTAATGTTCATCCAGTTATTTCACATCTCTGAGCTTCTTGAAGACTTAACTTCCTTATCCTTAAAACATGAAAAAATAAAACTTACCTCCTAGGATCACTCTGGAAATGAAATGAGAAAATACGGATAAAATGATTGCCAAGGCCTGGCACATGCTAATTGTAGCTGTTCAATACATATGTATTGTTACTAGATGTTCCTTATAACAATATATTTTCTTCTCAATGATGGGAATTGAACATTTCTCATATTTCTATGTCTCATTGATGACATAGAAAGCGCAAATGTAGGAATAAATGCTTTTGCTTAGAAAAGTCAGGCAAGGGCTAGCAGAAAGGGGTAGCAATATGGAAAACCAGAAGTTTTCCAATATGGAAACTCAGAGTATTTCTATATTCTAACCCATTCCCCATCACCTCTGCCTCTAAGCCACCGCCATCTCTTGTTTGATTTACTACAATTAAACATTAACTGGTCTCCCGGCTTTTACTCTTGCTTCTGCAGTCTGTGCTCAACACAGTTGTAGTCTAACTCAGGTCGCTCCTCTGCTGAAAACCCTTCACGATTCCCCATTTCATTTAGCATAAAAGGCAAAGCCTTTGCAGTGGCCTACAAGGCATGACGAGTCCTCATCTCATCTCCTACAACCTCTCCTGACTCTCTCTGATCCGGCCACGCCAGCCCCCGCCTGTTCCTCAAACACGCAAGGCACATTTCTGCCTCACTTCACTTGCACTTGTAATCTCTCCACCTGGGACAAACTCCCCTGAGACAGCGTGATGGCGTGCTCTCTCACCTCCTCAGAGGCTGTTTACGTCACCCTCTCAAAACGGTCTTTCCTGACGACTACTTAAAACTGCAACCCTGCCACTCCCCCCAAGACTCTCTTTATCCTTTTTCTGCTTTGCTCTTCTATAATTCACTTTTCAGTGCATGTTAAATTGTGCATCTTATTGACTTATGTGCTTATTCTCTGTCTCTCCTCACTTGATTATAATATATATAAGGGCAGGGAATTTTTGTTGAGTGAAGAAAAGAACGGTTATTGTAGCCTCCTACATACGTATCGAGGAAAATCTCTTCCCTGAGCCAAAGGGCATCCAGGGCAACTTTGAGACACACAGACCTCCACAGGGCATTATTGGATGTTATGGTTGATGCAAGGTGTCAATATATAACTCTTATGAAAGCTCTTCAGAGCACTTTCTGAATTTTATGTGCACCGGTGGCTTGGATGTCATGCGACAGAAAGTCTAGGTGCTGAACTGGCAGCTTTAACCTAGAGAATGAAAGCATGGTGTAGCTTGTGTCCAGAAGAATACCAAAGATCAACATAAAAACCAAGGGGAGCACCCATATATCTTACTTCCTCTTAGAAATAGAAATAAAGTCCATTTCCCATGAACCTCACTCAAAAGAGTCATCATATTTTATATAAGTGTATAGGGAGATTTGGGCATTTTTCAAAGGGCAATTGCTTGTATTTGTTAGTGAAAGTTTTTAATATTTTAGTCACACTTAGTACTATAATGTTAAGTTCTTAAGCTTTTGCCTTCATTTCTTCCAAAAAATAATCACTGAGCTCCTTCTAGCTGCCAGGCCGAGTCCTCGGTGCTGGGAATTGAAAGGTGCTCCCCAGCAGGACAGTCCCTCCTCTCGTGGGGCTGCAGTCACAGAAACTGGCACTGATCAAACAATTAAGTGAGTAAATTAAAGATTGCATCTGTTACAGTAGGAGAGATCTGGGGGTGAGGGTGGGGAGGGGGAGGGGAGGAGAACCCTGCAGGCAGAGACTCTTTGGCTTCATCTCTGCGATACCCACAGAGACTACCCCAGGCCCTGATGGAAGGATGAGGTGTCAATTCTATGCTGAGGGTCTTATTCCTCTTTGGCAGAGAAAAACCCAGTAAAGCTCCAGGTCTGAGCATGGGTCCCTAGGAAAAGCAAAGCATACAGGACCTGGGCATCCTGCCAGACTCTTTTTCCTTGAGTGACGATGAGCTCTCCTCCATCCCGTGTGGGGGGAACTGCACACGTGCCGGCTGTCTCTGGGCACCCTGATTTAGCATGTGTTCCCCAGTCTCCATCGCAGGCAACAGTACACGCAGTACCCCCGCCTACGAGAGGAACAGTAACTCACTCCTGTTCAGGGAGTAGGTAAACACAGTGCTGTCCCAAGTACTGCAGGAAAAGCATTTGCATCATTAGTTTGGGTGGGACACTTCTGGTTTTCGACTCTCTCTCACAGAGAGATTTCCCCGGGGTGGACACTGTGGTTTCTGCTCCGGAAGCCAAGTAGAAAGGGATCTCTTCCACCCTTCCTTCCTCTTCCTCCTCTTGCTCCCCCTCCCCCTTCTCTGACCTCCTTGTTGCTCACTCACTAAATCCCGTCAGAGACTCAGCTGGCTGAGACCCTGCATGTGACAGTGAGAGTGGAACAGACTGCAAGCTGAGATACTTGGGTCTCACTTATTCCTGAGATGCCAGAAAAAGGGCAGCATCAGCTTCAAGCCTCATCAGTTTTTGAAGCAACAAATGGAGCTTGGAGCGATTTCCTGAATCAGAGAAAATAGGTATCATTTAACTCAATAGAATACACATTAATTTATTACATAAATACAGAATATCACCTCAAGTCAAGTGCTCCTAGGCCAGAAATCCCCATTTAACCCATCCTTTAATTCTCCCCCACAAGCCACCTTCACGCACACCCGTAGAAAGGAGTTAGAAAGAAAAGGGGCCGACTTAATAGAAAAGAAACTGCCGTAACAGCAACTCCCCAAAGAGCGTGTGCTCTCTTTTCCCACACAGCTGTTTTCTCTCCGTGCTTTTCTCTCTCTTCGTCTCCCTCCTTTTATCTCTTCTGTCTCAGCCGCTCCCTCTCTCCTCCCGGCTTCCTGCCACGTCTCGTACTGATCACCCTTCAAAATCAGGGAGATCCCTCAGCGCTGTCAGATGTCCAGTCATTCACTGCACAGCTGTCCAGAGCCTTGGGCGTGCCAGGCCCCTGCGTGAGGCCTGGAGGGGCTATGACAAGACAGCCACGTCATTGCCCTCGTGAAGGTTTCACTCCAGGAAAGAACATACGTAACTATATGAACCAAAAGTAAATAAATAAAATAATTTCAAATTGTGGTAAGATTTACAATGGAAACAAAAATAACACTAAATACACACGGTGATGAGAAGAAAGCCCTGTACGTCCTCTAGATCAATGTTACTAACCTCTTTTGTCACAGACCCCTGTGGAGTCTGCTGAAAACTGTCAATTGCTTCTGAGAGTAGTCTTTTAAATACATAAAATAAAATCCATGGAATTACAAATCAGGCAATTACACTGGAATGTAGCTCTATCCACATATCTCTTGAGAGTCCACTGACCGCAGGTTAGATTCTTTGTAGGACAGCCTAAAGACTGTTGATACTACTTTAGGTGGAGTAGGAGGTACTAATAAGGTTTTAATCAGAGGAATAATATAGCATGATTTGTGCTTTTAAGAGAGTACTCTTGTTACTGGACGGAAATAGATTTCATGTGGCTCAGAGTGGAAGCAGGGGAGCACTTAGACGGCAACTGCATTGTTGTAGGGACAAGATGATCCTGGCTTGCACTCGGGTAGTAACTGCGGAGAAGGCTGTTTCTATAAAGAGTCACTTAGAATATGCCCATAAAGGAACACGCATCCCTAAGTAGAGAAGAAAGAGACTGAGAAGGAAGAAGTGAATAAATCCTTTTCTCTTCCTACTTCCTGAAATCTCCCCTCAATCCTCTGAAGGTTTACTTAGCAACACAAGTTAAGCGAACTCCTTCTGAAGTTTGTGGCTTATAGCCCATAAAATATATAAAAAGATTTCTTTATACTTACTTGAGGCAAATATATTTCCAGTAAACCGTAAAAGAAGTTGGTCTCCTTCTCTTACTTGGAAATGCCGAGATGGCTCTGGAGGTCCCCCAAACCCTTCCACACGCAAGCTCTTAAGCGTCTGGTGTACGTCTTTGGAAGGCACTACTAAAATAGCTATTCTGTGTGGATTGTCCTTCTGGTGAGACAGTACGAGGCAGGCGGTGGTGCTGAGCATGGCTTCCTCTAAAGATTTCACAAGAGTAAGCAAATGGCTATTGTCCACGACAGAAGACAGGTGAAACACAATAAACCTGCATGGAAGAGAAGAGGCGAAATGACAGAAAAATACAGGCTTAAAAACATCACTGATATCTAATAACATCCAAGAAAAATGCCATCATCATCCAAACTTCCTTTAAAATCAAGTATTCTGATGACCAACAGGTTAGATTTATGAATGACCTCAGTGAAGCTCTTGGCAGTCAGTCAACCGGCTCAAATGAGACTAAACTCTAAAACACACTCTTTAAAAAATCCATATAGTCTCAGCTCAGCTCTAAATATGGCAACGTATTTTAAGTCTTAATTAGCATAACCAAAGAGTATTATTTCAAAATATAGAAGAGAAAGATGATCAACAGAATCCATTTACTCCCCACAGGATGCGGAATGTATAGCATAATTAAATGGGGATTGAATATTCATCTCTGTCTCTGGGTGGTAAGGATTGTTACGGTGAACTCCGCTATTGATTGAGTTGCGTGTCCCATTCATAGTTGAAGTACTAAATCCTAGCATGTGTGATTTTATTCAAAGATAGGGTCTCTACAGAGGTAATGAAGTTAAGATGAGGTCATTAGGGTGGTCCCCAAAGAAATTTGACTGGTGTCATAAAAAGGGAAAATTTCTGAACAAAGAAATGCGTACGTAGAGAACACCATGCAAATACCATCTATAAGCTAAGGAGAAAGGCCTGGACAGATCCTTCCCCCACAGTCCTCAGAAGGAACACACCCTGCCAACACACCTTGATTTTGGATTTCTGGCCTCCAAAACTGTGCAACAATAAATTTCTGTTATTTAAGCCAACCAGTTTGTGGTAATTTGTTATAGCAACTTTAGGAAGCCAATATAGACAAGGGCTTTTGAAAAACACTCATAACTTAGATTTATTTTTACAGCTTTCTTTTAACTCCAAAATAGTTTTAAAACAGTACCTTCATTTCTGAAATTCCATGGAGATAGTAATTAACTGTTCATATTATGCTTATCTCCGGGCTAGGCCACCTTGTCCCCAGTTCTTCTGCAGAGAATTGGCGCACAGCAGCCTCCTGGTCCAGAGCAGCCCCACACCTACGGAGCAGGACTGGCCCATGTGGGGTGGAAAGCCAGCATCCTTGCTACTCACATTTCCTGAAACCATAGTTTTCCCGACTTCCTCCCTCGCCCTGCAGGCTTCACCTGAGCACCCTCCCTCTAATCACCTGCTTCTCATCTCAGAGTCTGTTTCTCAGGAATTTACTTTGAGACAATCATAGATATGAGGCCTCCCATTATGAAATAAACACTATCTTTGACATTGCCCTCTCTTTTTGAGTGGCTACTCCTCAAGAAATTTAAATCTGTCTAAAACTCTTCTCATAAAAAATGGGAAGTCTAGAAAACATGGAAATGAGAAAGCAAAATGAGGGCACTGAAATAGCAAATTCAGTTTACATATATATAGTTATGAGATAAGCATAACATGAATGGTTAATTACTATCTCCATGGAATTTCAGAAATGAAGGTGCTATTTTAAAACTGTTTCAGAATTGCAAAAAACCTGTTAAAATAAATCTAAGTCATGAGTGGTTTCCAAGAGCACTTGTTAAACTATCAGGAATGAAATTACAGATAGCATATCCATGTCAATTCTGGCTTGGATTTTAAGCATACCCTAAAGAATGGTTCATATTCCTATTTGAGGAATAAAAATTTAGTCCTATGACTACATTTGTGTAAACATCAGTTATAGACCATCAGGAGGGAATATCGTCAACTTTGCTATTGTATTACCTATCTAAATGTTCACACAATTCAAATGATATCAAGCCATTCTGTACGGTTCTCACCACGACATCGTCAAGCACAAACCAACCACTGTCTCGGCTTCTGAATCCCAGTAATTTCAAAGATTCACAGGCATTTTTCCCAGATTTTCTTATGGACGTGCTTTTTGTCCTATATAATGATAACAGAAGAGAAATTGGTAAAATTTACATAATTTATATTTAATTGCACTCATTCTTTCATTAAGTGAATAATCCAATGACAATTCATTAAGTATAACATACTATGAGCCAGTCTACACTTTGCACCAGGAATATAAAGATTAGAAATATACGGCCTTTGCCTTATAGAAGCACACAGTATCACAGTACTATCTGATTGTAGTGCAAGGTGATCTATGTGGTAATTAAAGGAATGCACAGGGTGGTTTAGGAGCAGAAGCAGCAAGGGGCTCATGAAAGCTTGCAACATGAACATGCTGATATGTAAAATGAGCTTTGGAGAATGAAAAGCATTTTACTACTGACAAAGAGGTTTAAGGGAACACCCCAAAACATTAATAAAGTTGCTGATATCAACTCAGATGCTTTAGGATAACAAAGAGTGTTATCCTAAAGTTTATATAGCATAATAGGTAGGATGACAGACTCTAGACCAAAACTGCCCAGTTTTAAATCCTGGGTAGCTCTGCCTCTTATTAACTATATGACCATGGGTAAGTGATCTGATTTCTCTGAATCTCAGTTTTTTTATCTATAATATGATAATAATAAATTAATAATGTAAATTAATGTAGGTACTATTCTTAGTACCTACATTCCTAATAGTTGTCAAATTATTAAATGATTTAATATTTGTAAAGCACTTATAATTGCAGTGAGTATAAATAGTATTAATTTTCTCATCATAATTCCTACTGCAGACATAGCCAATTATCTTTCTTGTACAATTTTCCTTCTTACATAACCTGCCCCACCCAAAGACCCAGTTGGCTGAATATACCATGTGATACATTTCCCTAGCCAGAGCTGATTTGACTAACAGTAGACCAGTTTCTAACAGCTAGCCAATTTAATTCTCTTTCTTTGGAATTTGACTAACAGTCTCAGAGACTGTAACTTACCATTGTCCTTTTGTTATATTATAATGAACTATAAAAATTAATAAACTGAAAGATTATTCAGAAAGGAAAAATAGATGCTAAGAAAGAGAAGGAGAAAAATCAAGATGAAAGAATCCATATAGCCCTAGAGATGGAGAAACCAGAGATTAACCATTGTAGCCCTGCAATAAACTCTTTCCTTGAATTCGTTTAAGTGGGTATCTGTTCCTCATGACTAAAGGAAGAAAAGTCCTTGACTATGAATATCTTAAAGAAAAAAAATAATGCCTGGCCTAATGATAGTACTATCTACAAGGGGACAGAACTGTTCTAGCCAGGTGCTAAGAATAAAGATCCAAGTGTGAATTTCATATCTTTATTTGCAAAGCAAGCTAGAGTTACAGGCTTAAAACCACCTTACTTTTTCATAGGTTGAGCTGTCCTATGACCCATAGATTAGGCACTGAACTAGATTTTAAATGTCTGCTCTAAAACTTTTTAGTATGTATTGGTTACTTCAGGGTACTAGCCAGATTAAAGTCAGGAGCATAGAGTGAAAAATTTAGTTTTTGGCTGTTGATTATAACTACAGATATGGTAAATTTTTTAACTCTTGAAAGTTAATAATTTATTCACACAGGAAGTGCTGGGAGTTAGCTACACTCCCAGAAAAAAATTGGGTCCCTTAGGCAGGGTTCATCACAAAGGATAAGGAAATAATAGAAAATAGAAAATAATAGAATAGAGAAATAAAAGAATACACAGAGCTGAAAGTACAGTTTTATAATAGTATAGATTTATAATAGTTGGGGTATCAGGGGAACCCACAGCATTCCTGTGAGCTGTGAGGCCTCAGTAAAGTTTCACATGAGTATTTATAGGTACAGTGATCGGTTGCCAGGGGTAACAGATTTACATAACAGGTAGTTCATTTTAGGTTAAAAGTCTCCCAAAATGCTTCTAGAGATCCCTTAATTAACTCTATCTACGTGAGCAAACGGTTACAAAATCTTTCTAAGACAAACTTCTAAGTTCTAAGATAAAGCTGTCACTTAGCAGAAAGTTTTAGAGATACAGTGGCTCTATATTTCTTTAACTAGTTATTGTGGATTGAGACAGGTAGTCAGGAGTGAAGCAGAAATTGTCCCTTAGTCTAATTGCTTTTAGCTGCAGATGTCTGTCTGTCGGGTGGGCACTCTTTGATCAGCTCTCATCCCGTGGCTCCATGCAAACCTGCTTTGTCATACAAAGCAGGTGAAGGCCACAGGTTTGAGACTGCAGAATCACCTTGGAAAGCAGCTGCTACTGACCTGTGAGATGCCCTCCTGAGGCAAGGCAGCCTTTGATGTGCGAATTAACACTTTCACATATTCCTTCAGGGCAAAGCCCTGCAAAACTCCTGAAATCATTTCTGTCTCTATAGGAGGCATCTCCATAGAGCAATATTTCTATGGGCAACAAGGAAGATATACTGAATCCAGAACATTGGTCATTTACTAGATACTGACTTAATTGTAGTGTTGACAATTTTTTTTCTTCTAATTCACCTTTTTCTGATAATATCCTAAATTTTCTCCCAAGTGGCTCCCAAGTGTGGAGGAGCCATCCCTACTCCCAAGTCCATGTCAGCATATAAGCTAAGCCAAAGAGTGCATTTGGCATTCATTAATGCTGTTCACCAAAAAATCCAATTTCCCTTTGGTCTCAGTACAAGATAGGGTTATACTTTCTGTCTCCTGTGGTTGAATGGGGTCATATGACTAGTTTTGGTTAATGAATTGTGAATCAAAGAAATATGTCTCAATTTGAGTCCAAGGATTCAATTACTAATGTGGGTCTACAAATGTCTTTCTTCTGCCATCATGACAGCAACCAGATAGTGGCTGCTCTGTCAGCCTAAGTCCTGGAGTGAGGATGACCAAAAGGCAATCTACCTTTGATGACCACACAGTGTGTGTGAGATACAAAGACTGGCATTACAAACCCATGGGATTTTGGAGTTTTGCTATCTGCCACAATCTAGGCTAATGTGCACTATATAATATATCTTCCTTCTGGTTCCAGTAATCTATTCAGTGATGGGTTTGTGACAGATTTGGAGTGAGAATCAAGCCCTGGGTTTTGTGTATATTCATGGGAAAAACAAGCTTCCTCTTTTTCACTGAACTTGGAGCAATGAAGATGTTGCCATATTAATTGCATGAGGGACAAGCATGTCAGAGAATGGAACTGGCACAGAACAAGGCAGATAGAGAAGAAGAGAGATTTGGTTCTTCTTGGTTCAAGAAAAAATATAAAGATAAATATATCCCCAGATTTTTAATTTATATAGATGAAAGAATTCTTTTATTGTTTAAACTTATTAGATTTGCTTTTCTGTTACTTAACTCAAAAGAGTCCTTAATGACATAAAGATCAACGTTAGACTTAAATATGATAATAGACACAATCCCTATTCAAACTACATAATCTGATGGTATACTTCCATCTCTCATCTGTTAACAGCTCTGCAACTAAACTATTCCCATTCTATGTGCTATTAGCAAAGTCTGACAACTAATATTGTCTGGCAGTGAATAACACTTGATCAGACTACACAAAAGACAGCATTTTGATATAGTGATAGTTCCATAAAATTTAGTAAAACCTTTATTCTAAAAATTTATTTATTTAAAAATGATTAAATTGTGCTTAGGACTCACTCAGACAGTACTAAACTCTCTGAGGATACTGATTAAAATGTGCATGCTACTTTATAAGTAGAATAAATAATATATGATGCAGAATTTGACAAGTAATCATATAGTCAAAATTCTCATATTATATCATATTTTACTTTCAGAATATTTCTTCCTTTGTGATATGCACAATGCATAGGTATTTAAATGTGAATGTCATTAATGTTTTGGATTAACTTTTTCTTAGAAAACTGTAATTCAGTCATTAAAGTACTGATTTTAAATGATATGCTGCATTCAAAAAATTAAGGTTTTTCCCATTTTAAATTATGTATATTGATTATAGAACTATTTTAAAATAGAAAAGTATATAGAAGAAGAAGGTACACACACATTGCCTAGAGCCAAATACTACAATATACTGACGAATTTCTGGTAGTCTTTTTTGTATGTAGATTTTTATTTGGTATATAAAATGCTGACCGTATACCATGTCAATTTGCACCCCTAATTTTAACATTTGTAATCAATGTAATCACTTTTGGATATCAATTTAAATGACTTGAGTTCCTATCACACTAGTGAGAGAAAAATTCTCTCCTAAATCAACTGTCCTTTCTGACTATAGGCCCATGAACCCTCAGAGCTTTACCAAGTTTGAGGTGTCATTACTTCCAGTAACAATCACTACACAGAGGAAAAAAAAACTACATAATCTAAGCAGTCCCCAGTCTTCATGCATGGTCCCCATTCTCTTGCTGCTGTTGAAACAGAGGCTCCCTCATGATCTGATGCCACGTTGCTTCAGGGGGACATTTATCAGCACATGCCACTATTTCAGCAGGAGCTTTTCGCAGTATAAAGAAGAAAAACATGAAAACTCTCTCCTCAGTGTTATGCTATTTATGATTCGGTTATTTCACCCCGAGCTTGAGTTCCTGATGATACTGTGTCTTAGTGGACCCACTTACCCAGGCTCCCAACCTGCACACACAGTCATTCTTCCAAAGAAATGTCCACAGTGCTAGAACTGCCTTGTATTTTGCCCAAAGCCAGCCTGATTGGTGAGCCTCGGCTATCCACTCAAATTCCCTCCTCCTTTATGCTATTTTTTTCTTATAGTTGACTTAAGAATATCTACCTTAACCCAACAGAAATGTTTCAA